CAATCAAGGGAAGAGCCCAGATAGATTATGCCTAGTGCCATATTCCAATACCGGAGAGGCTTCCAAACAAGCCTCTGTGAGAAAAGAATCTCTGCCCCATCAGTTGGATATTGGGAGAAACAACATTTCCTTTGCTTAACCCCTTCCCTCCTCCAGAAACCCAGATTTCAATAAAGAAATCCAAAAAAGTTGGGAGGGCGTATTTGTTGAATGTTCCCACCTCTGCTCTCCAATCTCAATCCCATTTAGCCACCTCATTTGCTAAATTTACTGCAGGTCTGGCAAGTTGATGACAAAAACTGTAAGTTCTTACCTTGACAAGTGACTGCCAGGCTAGGGAGAATAGAGGAAAGGAAGGATGCAAGGGGGGGGGGGGAAACCTTTCTGCAACTTGTTTGTGTGGAGGAGCTGAAAAAAAAATCCATCTCAAAACAAAAAGCAGCTACAGCACAAATATGCAACAAATGGCTGCAGCAGAAGCTGGATCCTAAAGGGTATCCTACAGGTAGCACTTAAGCAAGGGAAAAACTTGGGGAAGTTCATCCTGAAGCTGCCACCTTTGCATGTAGGCAGCTGGCTTTCCAAAGACCTAGCAAGAGTCAGGAAAGGTTTGTAATCTCTCAACAGCCAACTGAGCAGAGCAGAAAGCCCGGAAAGCATCTGCCATTTCTGCAAGAAATTGCTGAAGCACTAAAAATGGCTTCCAGGAAGTATGGGGAGCAAGCCAAAACGTACAGGTTCCAGTCAGGACAGGATGGGGAGAGAGAAGTGAAGGGATAAGATCCTTGTAGTTGGTCATGATGAATGACTGCAGGGAACTTCAGTCACCATAACTTTGAAACAGAATCATGAAGCTTTCTGGCTGATGTCACAGTGATATGATGCATCTCCACAGAGCTCCATGGAATCATGCTGAATTCAACCTGCCAGGAGGGTCTGAGGGACCCAAGTCACCCTGGAGGGGTGATGAAGATAGAGAGGACATTCTGTCGATCACAAGACCGCAAACTCCTTGTTTGATCTGGAGGAAGCTCTCAATCCAGCGGGAAGAAAAAGATGGCCATTACATGTCTAACCAAAGCTGTGACAGCTGATCGATGAAACAAGCATAAAAAACTGAGGAACAGTATGGTCGATCTGGGTGAGATTTTTCCAACTTTTGTTGAGTAACTTGCCCTCTTAAAGCTAGTCTGGCTGAAAGAGGAGGAAGTGGAATTGTTTGATTTCTACCCCCCAAGAATAGCGGCAAGCAAGCCTGAGAGCTATCTATAGAATCGGAAACAGGGATAAGATAACCTTTCAGGAAAGACAAAGAAGTTTAAAGCCAGGAAAGTTGGCTTGGGGATTTTAACTACACTATTGATTAAATTGAAAACTTTTTTGAATACGAAATTTTAACCCCTGGGACTTTTGAACAGTTTTGGATTAAATAATACATTACAAGTTAATGAGAAAGAAAAAAGAGAGAAATAGAGGAACAGTGACATCTACAGGTAGAGAAAAACAATGAGAAGTGAAAGTAAGTAAAAGGATGACCTTGAATGTCTGCTGAAGATTAGCCTGTTTGCTACAAATAACACCTTCATCGGCAAATTATTTATACAGGATAACAGAGACAGAGAGAGAAACACTGTAATCTTTTTAAACAATGTAGCTCTTTGAACTTATTTTGAAGCTAAACCGACAAAGTAAATAGAAACTGGGAAATAGCAGAATTTTTTTTTCCTTTGCTTAACTCTCCTTTTGGTGATTTATCAGCCTTTGTGGTTAAACTCTGGGGTTTGGTGGGCCTATGTGTATTACCAATTTATCAAGAGAACAGTGTTTGAAGACTTGGGGATTAGCACAGCAAAAGAAAAGAGGTATGGCCTTATACAGTATATCAAAGAAACAATAAATGCTAGACAAATCTTTGTAGATGAAGAGGGGAGAATTTTGATGGTGGAGGTAGCAATGAACTATAAGCAGATACTTTTGGTAGCAATATATACACCAAATAATAAACAGGAAGATTCTTATGAAAAATTACACAAGAAAATTATAGAACTGGGATATGAGTGTATTTGTATGATAGGAGATTTCAATGCAATTGTAGATGCAAAACTTGATTATAAAAGCAGTAAAATAAAATTCCAGAAGAGAGAATAAAACAATATTTGGGAAAAGCTGAACTACCTAAAATACCTGAAACAGTGAAAGTCATGTCAATATCAATGATGGAATTAACAGAAGCGATTAAGAGGCAAAAGAATAATAAAATACCCGGACTAGATGGGCTACTGGCAGAACTTTATAAATATTTATATGATACTTTAGGCCCACCACCAATGTTAGAAGTTTATAACAAAGTATTGTTAGAAGCAAAGGTACCAAATTCGTAGATGAAAGCAAATATTACCCCAATTCCAAAAGAAGATTCAGACATCATGCAGATAAAAAACTATAGACCTATATATTTATTGAATGCGGATTATAAAATATACACTTCAATAATAGCAGAAAGACTAAAAAGATTTTTGAATGAATATATACATTCAGGCCAGAATGGATTTTTACCTAAGAGACAGATTAAAAATAACATGAGAGTGATATTAAACACACTGGAATACTATGAAGCACATCGTGGAAAGCAAATGGCGTTAATTTTCTTTGACACACAGAAAGCATTAGATAACATAAATTGGCAATTTATGTTATCACAATGAAAATTTATCGGCTTTGGTGAGAGATTCATCAACATGGTTAATAAGGCAACGTATCATAAGCAAATAGCAAGGGCGATGGCAAATGGAGATATGACAGAGAACTTTAATATAAAAACAGGCACAAGACAAGGATGGCCACTATCCCCTCTTCTATTCATATTGACACTGGAAGTATTTAATAGAAATCTTAGACAAGACAAAGAAAATAAAGTTATAGAAATAAAAAAGTGAAAATATAAGCGACAGGCATTTGCACATTATTTGGCCTGGAAGATCCATTAAAAATGGGCACAAATTAATAAAAAAAATAGAAGAATATGACAAAGTTACAGGATTGAAAATAAATAAAGAAAAAACTAAAATTTTAGTTAAAAATTTTACAGATACATAGAAAAAGAGTTAATGAAGAGGATAAATTTCAGACAGTCAAGAAAGTTAAATACCTAGGAATCCATCTAACGGCAAGATATTCAACCATTAAAGAAGATAATTACTATAAACTGACTCAACAAATTAAAACAGACTTGGAGAAGTGGAAAACCTTGCAACTGTCATTGACAGGAAAAATAGCTCCCATAAAAATAAACATTTTATTGAGACTATTATATCTCTTTCAAACAATACCGATAAAGCTGGAAAAAATATTTTGAAGAATGAAATAAAACAATATTAAGATTTATTTAGTAAGGGAAAAAAGCAAGAATAATTTTGAAAATGCTGCACTCTAACCACTGCGCCACTGAGGCTCCTGATATGAAATGCCATCATATACCTGGTTCATATTATCATATGTAGTGGACATGCCCAAAAGCAAAAGAATATTGGACAAAAATATATACATGGTTGGAAAAAAATGGTAAAGTAACATATTGATTTAAAACCAAAAATATTTTTGTTGGGAATGCTACCAGATAAGTATAACAAGGGGAATACATATTTGATTTTATATATATTGACTGCAGCCAGAATTGTATTTACACAACACTGGAAAAGTAAAGAGACCCCTACAGTCGAAAATGTGATTAAAAAAATATTAGAATGTGCAGAAATGGATAGATTAACACAGTTAAGGAAAAAGAAGAAAATACTGTTTTACTTTGGACTTATTTTACCAATGGTTAGCTGACAAAAACAGAAATTAGAAACATGGGACTATAAGAAAAGGAACAATGAAAAAAGGGAGGCTTGTTAAACTGGATAAGCAAATATCATTATTATTATTATGATCATTATGATAGAATGAATATCAATGTAATAAATATTGTTATAAACACTTTCCTAAAACTGATTATTGATGGTTATTTCCTAAAACTATTTGTACCCAGACAACACACTATTTAACGAATACAGAGTCATATGAAGCTTTTGTGGGTTCTGTTGTAACTTTAAATGGCCATTAAGTGACTGGATGTTTTCCGAGGACTACCTAAATAGGTTTAGTTGAATTTGTTTTTATAGATTTAATATTTGTAACTTTACATTGTATTTAGTTCCCCTTATTAATTTTATATGCCGAATGTATTGTATTTTACTGTATTTTTATTCTTACTATGCCAGTCATTGATCAAAATAATTTTTTTCTCTCAAACATGAGTATCTTTTCTGCTTCTGCCAAAGTTGCCCTTCTCTACTTTAAACAGTGCAAAGCAGCAGATCAGACTTGGAATATTATGCTGCTGTTTAAAGTATTATAAGAACAAATCAATTATATAAATAACTGATTTTAAAAAGAAGACTAAAGAAAAAAGTTACATGATACGGTTCATGTTTTAAATTATTTGTTAAGAACATATTTATAAAAATGTTTTTTCTCATATATTTAAGAGAGCAATGTGGCAGTATAGCAATTCAACTTTTTTTTAATGGCTAATGCTGAATATTTAAATTATTGGAGAGTGAAATCATAACAGAAATAATTTAATTCAGTAAAATTATCTCAAAGCTATAGGTTTATCGTAAATCTTGGAATTAGTGTCCTTACATCATAAAATATCATTAAAGGGCCTCAGCAATTGAGAGAGAGTTGTACAGTGGAAAACTCCAGTTATTTTTATCTTTCTTAACCACTCCAAATAACTCTACACTCAAGATAGTAGAGATATTGTAGAGAAGTTAGACAGGACAGACTTGTCTAGCAATGGAAACTTTCCTCCAAGGAGCTCAGGAGTAGTGCATACACTGATATGTTAATCACACATGGTTTTCTAATCATTAACAAGCTAATATATCTTAATCCCTTGGGTAATTTTGCTTTTCCCAGGAAAGACAAAAACTGAGTGATTGCTTCTTTCCTACTTTTCTTTGGCAATATCCAGATCTAGACGGTGGCTCTGCAAAGCTGCCATCATATTCCCCATCTCAATGTAAGCATTTCCAATGCAGCTGTAAAGATTTCCAACCAGCTCGCTCCTGTTGGGGATTTCATCATCGGACCAGCTCTGGATTTTTTTCAGTACTTGCTCAGCTTTCTGGCAACTTCTTTCAGGGCAGCCACTAGTCAGCACTTAGGAGAAAAAGAAGGAGGGGGGGGAATTCTGCATGAGCAAATATGCTACTCAAGCATGTATGCACTGAAACAATGCACAGAGATTCAGGATGATCATATGAAATACTTATTTATCAATTTTTTCTAAGCAGGTTTAAGGATATTAACTAATTTAGGTGGTATTAAAAAGAAACTAGATACATTGATAAAAGACAGAACAATAAATGGCATTAAAATTGATTCCTATATAACTCCTAAATCATGAAATATAGCTCAAATATCAGCAAGAAAAATCTTAGATACTTTCATGCATTGCTTATAGTTTTAGATTATATGTGGATTATAATGAAGCATGAATCATTTATTGTACCTATGCATTAAATTGTATTATTCTTTTATCTTTCTAATTTTTCCTATTTTCTTTTTCTAAATAAAAGCCCTCCCAAATCTCTCCATGCATGAAAATTCATGAACAAACTTGGCTGGGTAATGAGTGACACAGAATGCTAGATTATAGATGAACCAGCATAGTTTCTCTTATCATTCTTAAATTTGCCTGGAGTTTGATACATTTCACATATCTCTAAAAGAAGAATTCTCTCAACAAACAATGCCAGAAAATGTCAAAAGAAATTCAGATAATATCAAAAAATGGATTTTGGAATCTGCTATATTATAGTATATAGAAATATTATTTCCCCCCACTAAAGTCAATTATTAGACCTCTTCTTCCATCAGTAAAATTGATTTGAATTTTGAATACATATAATTTTCGCACTGTAAGATGCACCCCACCCAAAAAAAAGTGGCTGGAAATGTCTGTGCATCTTATAGAGCAAATATTGCCGAAATCCCACCCATCGGCCCCCACCCTTTGGCCTCTGCCTCCCAGCAATTTGCCTCAAACAGTAAACAGCCTGGTCAGCTTCACAGCCTGATTTAGCACAAGCAGCTGATTGGTGGTTGGATTGGCCTCCTGGAATACTGCCAATCAGCTGTTCCAGGGTGCCTATTGCCGTATAGGGATTGCCGTCGTCTATCACTGCCTCTGTGCGCCCCATTTTTGGCCTTCATGAATCCCATTTTTGGCCTGTGTGTGCCCCATTTTTGGCTTGGGCGAGATGTGCTGAGGCCAAAAATGGGGTGCATGAAGGCCGAAAACAGGATGCATGGAGGCTGAAAATGTGTTGAGGCTGAAAATGGGGCGCACAGAGGCAGCAATAGGCAGAGGCGATGGCAGCAGCGGTGATCCACGCAAACTGGAAGAGCTGATTGGTGGTATTCCAGGAAGTCGATCCAACCGCCAATCAGCTGCTCATGCTAAATCAGCTGTGCTGACCAAGCTTTTGCAAGGAGGCAAATTGCTGGGAGGCAGATTTTTTTTTTCTTGTTCTCCCCACAAAAAGCGAGGTGCATCTTATGATCTGAAGCGTCTTATAGTGCAAAAAATACAGTATATATTTTATACACACACGCACGCATGCATGTACACATACACACACACATATATATATGAGATATGCTACCACTAGATGGAGATCAATCTGAGGCTATAGGAAATAATATTTTAGTAGTTCTCAGAAGAACAAGAAGTATCACTGAATAATAACTAATAGGCGCTGAGGACTTTTTTTTAGTAAGAAATATGATTCTGCATACAAAAATATTACATTCTATACATTAAGAAGTCACACATATATTACATAGTTTATCATGTCAAAGAATTGACAAAAAACAAATTGGAAGGATTCTGAAAGCAAATTTTCTTACTTAGGACAATCCTGTTTCTTTAAACATTGCAGTTCTATCTTATTTCAGGCAGCACACAAACAATCCCATTAATAAATTCTAACTGGTCCCCATTTTCACCTGAGCCACCTACGCATATCAATGTCCTCCATGCTCTTTAGTATGTATCTTGCCACCTCAGAGGGCTTCCGCTTTTGATCTCTGGTCCATCTTTTCAACATAAGCTTGCGATCTCTGATCCGAGCATAAATAGGTTTTTGCTGCTGCCAGAAATCTGTGCGAGTATCCAGGTAGGAAAGACCCTCCTGAAGTAAGTCTCCAACAGTTACCCCCTGCTTGGTAACACTTTTGATCAACTCTACAAGAAGCAAAAAATATGGTCAGTTATTATTGAGTAGATAAGTGTTGGTGTTAAAATACTATACTTGCTTGACTCACAGTACTCTTCTCAAATGTGATTTCCACTATAAATGTTTTATAGACACTTCTGAAAGAGAGGTTATTTACAGAAAAAACTTTAAAAGGCTGAAATACTGGTAGTGACTTATGACCACAATTGATATACTGATATACAAAATTTCTGTTGCTGAGTAAGACCCTTGTTAACTGAGCTTATCTCCATTTTACAACCTTTCTTGCCACAGTTCTTAAGGGAATCATTGACGTGGTTATGTTAGTAATATGGCTATTAAATGAATCTGGCTTCCCCATTGACTTTGCCTGTTAGAAGGTTGCAAGATGGCTATGAAGGTTGCTTTATTCCCTGGGATCATCATCAAAATGAATCAGTTGCCAAGCATCTGAATGTTGATCATGGGGAGGCTGCAATGGTCATAAATGTGAAAAACAGTCACAAGTCACTTTTTTATTGCTGTTATAACTTTGAACAGTCACTAAATGAATTGTTGTAAGTCAATGGACAAAAAGATCTGTGGGGGGGGGGGGGGGGGGGAATGCAGTTTTCCCCCCCACAGGTAAGCATGAAGATGAAAGAAGCCTTTCAGAGGAAGAAATTTCCTTAGAAAAATATCTCAGTCACTTTTTAAATTTTAAAGAAAAAAAATGCTATTGAAATACAAACAACCAAAGCAAACATCCATGCAGATACCAATTCAAAATGTTTGAAATAAAGTATGGTAATAGTTTAACTAAATCAGTCTTACAGGTTTACAATACGGGGCTAATCTCTCTCTGGAAATAAAACTGACCTCTGTAGATATGCAGGGCTTATAGGGGTAAGGCTGACATGTTATTTGTGACTCTTCCTGAGCAGAGGCAAATGATCAGCCAACATGTATACCAGCTAAGGATTATTAGAACAAAAGTCTAACATATCCAACAGCTGTCTTAGAATCTATAAAAATATGGAGGTTTTCAAATTATCTAGAACCATTGGGCAAAGATGATGAATCGAGTATTGCTTACCCTATTTATCTAGCATTAGTTTACCATGATTTTGGTATCCATTGGAGATGTTAAGAATTGGATATAATTGCCTGGTTCACAAATAATGCTAAATCTTATAGTCTGCAGGTTATAATAATGGAGCCTCTGTGGCGCAGTGGTTAGAGTGCAGTACTGCAAGTTACCTCTGCAGCCAGCTGCCTAGAGTTTGGCAGTTCAAATCCCACCAAGCTCAAGGTTGACTCAGCCTTCCATCCTTCTGAGATGGGTAAAATGAGGACCCAGATTGTTGGGGGGCAATATACTGACTCTTTAAACTGCTTAGAGAGGGCTGTAAAGCATATAAAGCGGTATATAAGTCTAAGTGCTATTGCTATAATGCTGGGCAAAAACATTGTACAGTACTAAAACCAAATCATTTTATGGTTTAATGCAGTGGTCCCCAACCTTTTTTGTACCAGGGACCGGTTTCAAGCAGAAATTTTTTGCAAGGACTGGGGGGGGGGGGGGGGGGAGGG